CCGTTCGTACAAATTCATCCAGGTTTCCTAAAGAATTAAAAATTGGCAAAGAAATGGCATTAGATTGGAATACACTTCTGGGAAAAGTAATTAATAATGTTTTGGCTGTTTTTTGGATGGATAATGGTCCTGTGACAATGTTGACTACCATTCATGAGATTGTTGGTGGAAATTGGAAAGTTATTCGTAACAGGAGGTGACTCCGTGAAACAAGTTCCAATACAAATACGGTGCGTCGAGTTTTTGGAGATAGACATCGAAAAGAATTGGAGATCCTGCGAATAATTGATGACTACAACCATTACATGGGTGGGGTAGATATTGCTGACCAACTTTGTGGATATTACAACTGTCAATTGACAGTTAGACGAACATGGCTTCCTTTGTTTTTTTGGATTCTTGATACTGTTCTTGTAAATTGTGTAATTATTTATCGTAAAGTAACTAACTCGAATATCTCAAGTAAGGATTTTAGAATTAATTTAGTATGGGATTTGATCTGTGAAGCTTTAAACGTTGGAAAAAAAAAATAAAAGTGCCTCAAGATCTTCCAACTTCATCAAAAGGAAAAAGAATCGTCATAAATAAAAATTATGAACTGCCTGTAACTCGCTTATTAGAGGGAGACCATTTTGTCGAATGGAGTGAAAAAAGAGTGGCTTGCGTTTATTGCTGTTACTTGGCACAGCATGGAGCAAAAGATATTGATTATGATAATCCTCCACAAACCCAGCTCTGGTGCACTAAATGTAAAGTACCATTATGTTGCTCTAAAACAAGACCAACTTGTTTTAGAGACTTTCACTTAAAAGATAATAAAGATTAAGTTTATCGGATTCTTGGGTAACTTGATTGTTAAACGGCTTGTACATTTTTTATTTGTTAAAAATTGTTTCAAGAATTGGTGCCATCTAATAAAATTAGATCCGACAAAAGTTTATTTTTTATTTATTTTTTTGAAGTTTATTCATTCAAATACAAGTAGATTTGACCCGGTTAGAAGGTTTTGATGTATTCAGATAAACGTAAAATGAATAGTAACTAGATCAACCGACTCAATCAATACATAACGTCCAATTCACAATCCAGATATTTATTTATTATGACTTCGAGTGAAATATTTGAAACTTAGGCGTAAAACAAAATATTGCATTTTTAAGTTTTTAAATTTTCCGAGTTTACATGATCGTTATGTAACAGTAATACCATAATCGTTAAGTGACTGTAACATTAAATCGTGCGGTATTACTATTACAGTAAATAAATCCCCTAATGTTTACTTCCGTGTAACATCAAATTTTCCAGGCAAATTTGCCTGGAATACAATTCAGGACGATTTTTAGATACCACGAATGCGATTTAAAAAAGAAACTAATAAAACTGTACTGTAACATTAAATCGTGCAGTATTACTATTACAGTAAATAAAACCCTAGTGTTTACTGCCATATAGCATCAAACTTTCCAGGAAAATTTGCCTGGAATACAGTTTAGGACGATTTTAAATACCACGAATGCGATTTAAAACAGAAACTAGTAAAACTGAGTTGGTTTTAAATATGTCTTATTTAAAGTAAATTTTCCAGGCAAATTTGCCTGGAAATGATCTACAGATTAAGGGATAAGAATACATGATAAAAATTAGTAAAAAATCTAATATAAAAGTTGATATTATATAACAACTTAGTTATACTAAAGTTTAGCTTGATTATTATTCTTTTCTAGATTTTCTACTTTACTAGACAAATTCTTTTCTAGATTTTCTACTTTGTTAGACAAACTCTTTTCTAGATTTTCTACTTTACTAGACAAATTCTTTTCTAGATTTTCTACTTTATTAGACAAATCGTTTAATGTCTCATATTGTTCTTCATTTTTATTGTTTCTAAGTAAAATTACTTCCAGAAGGTTCTTATCAAAATGAGGCGGTTTATAACCTGTCCATTCTCCGTTTTGGATTTTTCTCATAAGCTCACGAAGCTTATTTTCATGAGCTTCATAAAATCTTTAATAATAATAAAAATTACATAAATATTAAAATATAGAGATAAATTTAAACAAACAACTTACATAATATATGGAAACCAATTTTTCTTTCTTCGTTGATGGGGTAGCATATAAAATAATTCAATTTTAGTCAATATCTGTATATTTATTAAGAACAATTAGATATTATAATAATATAAAATATTTTGATAGATAATAAAACTTATACCTTGGCTTTTAGAATTAAAAATGACTCATTATTATTTGTTTCACTGATTGCTTCAGTGAGTAGTCCAATAAACAGACTCATTAAATAAATTGTAAAAAAAAATGAAAGTGCCACTTTTAAAATAACTAAAGTAATATTATCATTTAAAATCCAGGGTGATAAAGGAGTTGGATCACCTATAAAACATCATAATAAGATATAAGAAACAAAATAATATATTTACAGTAAAATAGAAAGTCTAAAAATCATAGAGTATCTTCAAAAATATACCTGCAATTATCATATAGACTGCAAGAATTGCTGTAGTAAGTTTCGTAAACATATTGGTATTATCGTCGGGAGGTTTGATAATTGATACACTTTCATCAATAGTGCCGTTTGAATAAATAAATTTATAAGCTGTAGTCAAGATCCATGGATTGTTTGGGTCAGATGTATCAAGTGTAGGGCGTAATAGAAGATGAAATGAGTGAGCAAAAGCTAATATTATAAACCCTAATATCATCAAAAATGAAAATACTCTTCGTGCTACTCCAAAAATTATTGCAAAATAAATTCCAAAAAATTCGATTGCTTGGAAAAATAAAAGAAATTTCACTTCAAGCAATAAAGAAGAAATTGCGAGCATCATTGTTGATGGTACCATTTTTAATCCAAACAATTGATGTTGTAGTTGCTAATAAAATTGCACATAAATCTTTTTAATAAATAAATAAATCAATGGTAAGTTAGTTTAACTATAGATAATTCATGGCAAAAGATCAAATAATCATTAAAAAGCACATTACCAAAAACGTTCAATGAACTAGATATGTAAGAGAATGGTGAATAAATAAATTGACGTATTTCAAACATTAAATGCCAAACTCCAAAAGAAATTGTTATAGTTAAAAGAACATGTAAAACGTTCCAAGAAATATTGTTTAATGTTGCCGCAGTTGTAAAACAACAAAGGAAAAGTGTATAAATAGAGAAATAATACTTTCTACCATAAGTATTCCATTTAAACTTGATAAGTGCATCGCCAATTAAATGCTTGTATAACTCACTATTAATGTAGTCAAGATTGGTCAAACTTGTGAAATTGCTACCCTTAGGATTCCAAAAATCCTTTAAAAAACCATAATTTGTGGATAAGAAACAAAATTTGGTAAAGGAATTACAAGCTTTATGGTGTTATACATTGTATTTGAATTGTGATATTCTAGATTTTTTACAAGTTTTGAGATTGAATTATAATGCAACTTGTGAAAATTAGAAAATAAAATATCACAAAGAGATGTTTTAGATAAATGATAAGACGTTCCATAACTCGAAAGATGTGAAGAAGTTGATGGATTTTTATCAGATGAAGTAGAAGGAACTGTATATGCTATTGCAGCTAAAAAGCTAGCTACCGCCGAAGCATGTCTTTTTGACAGTGTTGGAAAATGCTCGAAAATAATACTTAATATAGAAATATTGATCATTTTACGCTCCCAACTAGCTAGACAACCATTAATTATACATCGAATTACTAAATTATGATATAAATTATGATTTAAATCAATAAGGTTATTCATAAGGTTTTTCCCATGACGAGTTAAATAAAATGTCATTTTGGCATTATCACTTAATAGTTCCCTAAAAAATTTTTTTCGTTCCTTGTAACCAAATTCAAGATCTAAATTATCATAGAGTACTTTAAAACTTGAATCTGGAAAAATTATTCCTGTGAACATTTTATTATTAAAATATTCTTTCATAGACTCAAACGTATTTGATTTTTTATTCCAGTCACCCCAATAATAATGCATTCTGATTTCTTTAGAAATAATAGCCCAGACAATTACACCAATTTCTGTGATCATAACCAAATTATCATTCTTAAGTAGCTCGCATTGTAGAACAAATTTTTTTCCATCTTCAAGGGGA